ATTATTAGATGATCAGGGTCCGGTCGTTTCGATACAAAACAGTCGTAATCGATTCGAGATTGCATGTCCGACGGAACGAACACATCAGCGCGTATGACTCACTTTCATGTAAGTAGTCGATTATTTTTAGCGAATTTTTGCCAGTTTAAGTCCGAACAATACAATTTGAACAAGTTCAATCAAGAGCGTGGGATGCGTGGCTGCTTTCACTGACTGAAGTTGTATCAAACGACTTTCTACGTGTATCGAATCAACTTTGTTGATGTATCTCAGACTTGTGTTGAAACGACTTTGTATCGAAACGACTGTAACCCAGATGATCACAAGACTTGGCTTACATCCATCACAAGCTTCAACAGCGAGTTACAGTCGTCGGTGAACACAGTACATCCGGGATTATTTAAACTGAAGGCACTTGCGGCGGGCTCCTCCTTCTCTATGGCCCAACAGGACTCAGCCACGCCTGCTTCATGAAGACCCTCTGACAAACCTGGGACAAATACAGGTGTCAACAATAAGACATTTGACCATGCGGCGTATAACGACAGTGCTTCGTTTGCCCACTTTCACTCACCGCCACAGCCTGCAAAAACATCAAGACACCGCAGTTTGGCGACTGTTTCATTCGCTTTACCACTGAAATCTTTTTTTGGGCTCTGATGTTCTGTTTCAGTGGAGGCTTTCCCTTTTCCCTTTCCTTTTCCCTTCCCTTTACCCTGAAAATCAATTTACAATATTAGTAGGTAGAAATAAGTACAATTTAGTCTAACTTGTTAGTCAAATTAACTCAACTCTCAATTCACTCACACTAGAGCCAATGGCTTTTCTCCTGTTTAAAAATATGGTGCCACAATTTTTTAATTTAGAAGCACCACCATTCCCCGAAAGGGAGACGACGAATTGGCCTAATGGTTAGTGCGCTGGACTCTGGACTCTGGACTCTCGTTTCCAATCAACTTTTTATCATCGACTAAGAAATCCGAAATCCTAAAATTTCCGAGGCACAACAGTATTTGTATTATACCCAAATGCTCTGGTTTTCGACTTTTACGACCAATTCACCAACCTTTCCTTTCATCGCAGCATTTCGCGCCTCGATCGGAGGCTCCTCAAACTCTTTTGTTTCACTGTTGTATGCCTGTGGGAAACACCATAGTGTGAAAAAAAGAAAGCCTAAGAAAACGCTTCCTACAATTGTACAGTTACTGTAATACATTCATAACATGGTGAACGCCTATCCCTTATACATGAAAAATTTGACCGCCTGCCTTATAGCGAAACGCTGACCGAGGGTGAAGTTGTAAGTCATCACATTCGTTACGTTACTTTGGAAAATCATTCATGACTGATCAGTTAAAAATAAGATGTAGGGGCTAAACTGTCTATATATCGGGGACAACAGAAACACAAACACGCAGTGAGCGACTAACAGAAGATTATAATCACCTCTAAGAAGTAAAAATAATGAATTCCTTTGGCTGTATATTCTTCAACTGAACAGTTTAGATCCTCTCCACAAGTTACCACACACCCGCCCGTGACGTCGTCAATAGAAATAGTTGCCTCTAAAGAGAAAACAAGAGTGAACAAAGGTAAGAAAACAGGAAACCCATCTGGGGAAGAACAACATGATGGCAAGTAGCTCATACTGCGGTTAACTCCAATAAAAGAGCTAAAAATTAAGATCTTTTTTACCTTCTTTGCTCCAATATAACAAATTCAGATTTGCTTGGTGGCCAAAACTTGATCCCTTGTGAGTATTCTCTGGCCTGGAAGGAAACATAGAGCCTGGCTCGTTCATTTAACGGAAGAATACTTAGGCAATGGGGTATTTTAGATGCAGAAGGCAGCAGGAATCGAGAGTCCTTTTCCCTGCTGCTCACCGAGAGGTCTTTTGGGGTTTCAAACTGATCGGATGGTTGACGTTGGAGCGGGTTAAAAGCAGTTACATACCCTCCGGTTCCCGGTTGCATCTAAAAAATGTCTGTGCTTGAGCCTTCCGCTTAACTTAATTGCCCACTAACTTGCCTTCTTTGTGAATGCGCTCTTTCACGGTAGAGAATAAGGTTATATATATAAGAGAAAGGAGACAAATTATCCTGGCTTGCAAGGCAATTTTTCCTCCGAGACGCGCTAAGAATCTAAAGATTGTCTGCGTATGAGAACAATCACTCTCTTTGTTTGAATACCGCCCTCACCTACCTGTAGAATTTATTAACAGTCAGCATAATATCAAGTTCTTCTGTTAACTTCCCGGAACTTGATTTCGTGAAGATGTTTACAATGCAACCTGAGCAAACAATAAAAAACATACTATCAGGAAAAATAACAAACTACCGATAATATGACTAAATAAATGACTACCAAGCCGGTATGACTGCCTCGCTGGCCGACTGACTGACTGACTGACTGACTGACTGGCTGACTAACTGACTGACTGACTGATTGACAGACTGACTGACTGATTGACTGACTGACTGACTAACTGAATGACTGCAGA